GGGGGCTGTCAGTTTCCAGCCCTGCTTAATTCCTCCCTGCTGTGAACCTGTGGGAGACCGGAGGAGGCAGCTTGCTCAGCCTGCGGGATTCAGGCAGGGCCCCCATGCCTTGGCACGGGGACATTCAGGGATGCCCGGGGATGCCTGGCTGGGTTCCCACCTCGCGGCTCTGTGAAAGCAGGAGCGCCGGCTGCAGACAGCAAGCCGGGTGCCAAGCAGTCAGTGCAAAGCTCGCGGCCCTGCTCCGGCAGATCCCCAGGCAACACGAAGCCAGGAGAAGACGTTGAATCCCACCCCTGTCCTTCCCTGCCCCCACAGCTTTGAGCCAGCAGGCCCTGCTGGCCCGATAGCCACGGGCCGGGTGGGAGAGGGTGTGACGTGGCTCCAGGCCTGACCCTGGTGACTGTGACTACGGGGACCTGCCCAGACAGTGCTTCAGCTGCAGCGAGTCAACTGGGCTGGGGCTGCCGGCCCACGGGCTTTGTGGTGAGACTGGGGTCTGGGAGTTGGTCTCCATGGGAGGCGAATTGTCCCCATGGCGACCCTCTAGGCCTCCCCACCGTGTCCCCTCTGCAGGTCACCAAGATGCTGGCGGTGGTGGTGATCCTTTTCGCCCTGCTCTGGATGCCCTACCGGACGCTGGTGCTGGTGAACTCCTTCATGGACAACCCCTTCCTGAACCCATGGTTCGTCCTCTTCTGCCGGCTCTGCGTCTACGCCAACAGCGCCATCAACCCCGTCGTCTACAACCTCATGTCCCAGAAGTTCCGGGCCGCCTTCAAGCGGCTGTGCAAGTGCGGGGGGGAGCCGCCGCCCCGCAGCCTGTACATGGCCACGGCCAGCTACAGCCTGGCGAGGGAGCCCCTACCGCCCACCTCCCAGCCCCTGGACCACAAGGAAGGTAAACAGCCCCCAACAGCGAGCAGCATGGCTCTCCCTAAGCGACAGCAGCCACCACCACGGAGCAAGGCAGACAACGGGGACGAGCTGTACTTCAGTGTGGTGTAGACCTCTCCCTCCCCAGCTCCATGGCTCCCCCGTCTCCGTATATAGACGCGCCCCATGAACAGGGGAGGCTGGTTGGGGGACGCTGGGCTCAAAATCCAGATCCGATCTGCATTGATGTCCAGCGCTGGCTCTCACAGAGCACATGTGGGTGAGGGAAAGTCCAGGGCGCACAGAGACTGAGGGGGCCAGCACTGAGGTGATCCAGGGGGAATCAAACCAGCCCCCACTTTGTGCCTAGACACTCTGACGTGGCTTGGTTCCCACCCCTGCAGCCTGGTGGTGAGGCAGCCAGCCCCAGGCAGGGATCACAGATCTCGAAATAGACGCTCTTGTTTTCCCGAGGGTTTGCCAGCACCTCTAGGCTGTGGCACTGTCAGAAGAGCTATACAAATTTGAGAGCCACTGCGTCTCTGAGCTCATCAGTTGGGCTTGGTTCCTGTGTCCAGCCTTGGAGGAAGCCCTGACACTGGATGGGGAAAAAAAATCCACACAACGCCACAGACAGCAGGCGGTTAAACTGGCAGCGGTGCGCCAGAGGCGGTAGATGAGGAATTTCTGTTCTCCCTGTCTCATAATACAGAAACAAGGAGACACCCAATGAAACTGAAAGGTGGGAAATTCAAAACGGATAAAAGGAAATCCCCTTTCTCACAGTGACTGTGGAACTCACCGCCACATGAAGTCATTAAGGTGAAGAACTTAAGATTCAAAAAGAGACAGGTTTCAGAGTAGCAGCCGTGTTAGTCTGTATCCGCAAAAAGAACAGGAGTACTTGTGGCACCTTAGAGACTAACAAATTTATTAGAGCATAAGCTTTCGTGGACTACAGCCCACTTCATCGGATGCAGACTGGCTATGGATAACATCACAAGGCAGCAAACAGCCCAGTCCCCTACCAACTAGGGCTCTGCTCACCAGATAATGTGTCGCAGCCAACATCAACGCCCCCCGCAAGGCAGCTGCAGGTTTCACGGGGCCTCATAGGAGATCATTGAGCATTGCACAGAAATAAATACAAAGAGAGAGGGGCGCTTGCTATTTAACCCTTTGAATGCTGGCATTTTCCAGATCAATGAGTGCACTAGAGAATCATCTCCACTGGCTCGTAAATGATGGCAAAACCACCAGAAGGAGAATCTCCTGCCCCAGAGATCTAAGGTCTAAGAGATCTAAGGACCAAAGGTTGCCGACTCGGGCAGCGTTGGCTTGGTGGCCCGTTTGTTCTTAGCCGGGGTTACCGGCAGTCCCGGGGAGCTAAGTGCTGCTTGCAGAGCTGTACCTCCCTCCTCGGACCGGAGGTGAGAACTGGGGAGAGACGAGGGCAGCTAATGCTGGGACCGGAGTTTAAGTTGTCCTGGGCCCGCGAGTGGGGAAGGAAGGGGAGCTAGACTAGATAGACTTTACCCCCACATACATACTGCCTGCCTGTATTATTGATCTGGTTTTACTAGACATGGGCTGCAGCCACAAATTTTGAATCTGGATGCAAAGATCGGGCGTATTTGGATCCAGAGTTCTGGTTCAGCCCATTATAAACAGGGGGCCACTTTCAAAATCGGGAACCAGCCCCCATCTCAAACCCCTGCAGAATTCCTAGATGCTCTGGTCCTGGCCTAGCTCCAGATTTATTTCTGACCAAAGCACGGGCCTGCGAGCAGGATGTGCTGTGCCCTCTGTAGCATGAATACAGAGCCCCGGACTGCCCCACCCAGGGGCTGAGGTTTGTATCCACGTGAGTCTGTATAGCTCAGCATAAACCCAGGTAGCTGTTGTTTTAATTCACGCCTGGATTTGCAGAACCTGTGGCCCTTTGTATTTCAAGCCTTTGTGTTTATGGGTATTTGTATTTCTGTTTTTCACCGGCTTGCTCGGCCCCCCGAGAAGCCATTGTAGGGGTGAGTATAACCCGAGGCCTGGTCTCCGCTGGCTAGTTGCAGATCCCAGTTTACTTCAGTCTACAACTTCCTGCTGTGGGGCTCCCTCCCCTTCGCGCTGAACAGCAGAGAATTGCTCCATGTGGGGGCTGGGCTGGGGCGACGTAGCCCTGAGCTGGGTTCCGGCGCGGGAGGTGTCCTGAATAAATAACACTACGGCTGCACTAGCTGGGTGGGGGGAAATGCTGGAAGGTAGCTAGATCTTGGGTTTCAACCCCAGCCGTGGCTCCGGGGGGCTAAGAAACCTGGGCAAAGCAAGCACAGAAGCAGAAGGCATTGGCCTCCCGTTGTAAATTACTTGTAACATTCTCGGAGAATAAATCGTTCATTCGGAAATTCTCTCCCTCTTGTTCGTTATGTATCTGCTCACGGCCTAGAACACGGAGCGATGAGCAGCCCCCAGCACAGGACGGTTCTGGCTGGGCCCATTATAGAGATGTACAAAACGTCTGCAGTATTTGAGCTGCTTTGAGACTCCAACACCTCCCTCCGCCCCTGCAAGGTGCCTGGGGGTTAGGAGCCCAGGCTTTGATCTGGGCCAGTCCTAGCCTTCTCTACACACGCTGGAAATGGATGAGAGATGCTCGTTGAACCCGCTTAGCTAGAGAGGCCAAAAGGACTGAAGGGAAGAGGCGAGTTTTACTGGAGCCAGGAAGAGCTTCTCAACCAAGAGCCGGGGGACGTTCAATGACAGGGAAGGGTAGCACGTTTAAGGAGGCTAGAAAGGAAATACTTTTACGCACAAGGCCAGATTAGCCTGTGGAACCCATTGCCACAAGGTTTCCTGGAAGCCAAGAGGTTAGTGGGATTTAAAAAAAGGACTGGACAGCAAGAACAGCCGAGGGGCAATAATACAGATTTTGAACAAACCGAGTGCTTGGGAAAGGAGCTAACCCTCCTGCTTCAGGGCTTAAACCAACCACTAGCTCTTGGGGAGCAGGAAGCTTATCCCATAATACCCAGTACAGGGGATCTTGCCCCTCCCACTGAATTGAAGCATCAGGTACAGGCCACCGTCGGAGTCAGGATCCTGGACTAGACAGACCAGAGGGCAGAACCACTCCGGCAGTTCCCTAGGAATTCTAGCCCTGGCTTTGACCCGGTTTCCCTCTCAGGGCCTAGGCAAATCATGCCTCACTTTCCCTGTGACGTGACGGGGTGCCAATGCTTTCAGGCATTGGAAGGGAACAGAGTCCTGCCCCCAGCACCACCAGTCAGCCAGCAGCAGAGGCCAGGGAGCTCCGACACCTAACAGCGCAGGAACTCCCAGTCCCTCGTGCAGCTGAATTTGTCTCGCTACTCAAAGGGCTGAGTTTGAAGATTCACCTCTGCACTGTCACACGCACACTCCCTCCCCACACGAAAGCAGCCCCGTTTCCCATCACAAAGCAGATCCACGCAGTGGTGTCAGCTGACTAGTGACAAACCTACTCTCACGCTATCCTCCTCCCAGGGTTGCTCAGAACTTCCCAACAGCCGCGAAGAGAGAAATCTGCCAGGGCGCAGCCCCCTTCCCCCTGGCGACAGGCTGCGCTCATGTTGTGCCAGAACGCTCCCCTACACCGTTCCAGTGCTTCTTTTAGGAGCTGGAACAGCGTTTCAGGGCTTCTGCCAGTCCCTTTTCCGCCCCACGTCCGCCAAGGTGGTAGCAGTGGGTGCCAGCGGTGAGAGCCAGGGACGCTGCAGGTGGGAGCTGACAGGGGAGCCGTTGGGAATGTGGGGCAGAGGCGTTGCTGGAGCCAGGTGATGTGGGGAGCTGGGTAGCAGGGCTTCCCAGACATTGGCACCCCCCGCAGGGAGCAGGAGCTGAGCACAGGCGGGGATGGGATGGGCTCTGGGGCAAATCACTGCCTGCTCTCCTGGGCCTTCACCAGCTCCCCCTATCATCCTCTCAGTGTCCTCTGCTCCCTCCGACAGCCCTGTGTTCCAGCTCCTGCCACTTCCCACTAACGCCCCAGCCAGCCCAGAACCTGCGCTCCTCCCCCGGCGGCTAGCACAGGTTCTCCTGCAGTGACACACACCAGCAGTGCGCGTGTCCGTTATCCCCAGGCTCCAGAGGAGTGAAGTGTGAGACGCGTGAATAGAAGCTGCGAGCCGAGTCGCTCTTTCCTCTCGCATTGTCTTTTTCATGAATAGACTCGGCGACCTCCTCTCTTCCCCTGCTCGCTCTCTGCCCTTAGGACAGCCGCCCTAGTTACGAACGCAACACGTTGCTCATCAGAGCGTGTTGGACCTAGACAGGGCCAGAGCCCTGCAGGGGCCGATGGCTACTCTTGCTCCATGCGACCGCCTGGGGGAGCAAATCCTGTCTGCCCAGGGGCAAATATCTGAGTCAGCTCCTCCACGGGCCAGCCCTAAGGGGCATGGCAGGCCCTGCCCACAGCAGCTACCTGGATAGGGGAGGGCAACTCAGCCTGCATGCCCTTGGCCAGGAAGCCAAGGAGGGGGTGAAGAGGGGTTGTGTTTCTTGCCAGTGGAGGGCATCTGTCAGCTAGGACCTGGACTCAGCGTGACTCATTTCCCATACGCCAAGGACCCGTTGTCTAGCTGGGACTGTCAGTCAACACAGCCCCAGCACGGGGCACCTGAAAATCTCCCTCTCTGAGCCTCCCCCATTTCCAAGGGGGATCTGTTCCCCACCACAAGGCAGGATTTCCCTTTCTCAGCCTCCTGTAAGATGCCAGCACCCAGAGAGGGAGGGAGGGGTGTGTGTGAGAGAGATTGATTCACTAAAGGCAATTTGGAAACAACCTGGGTGCTCCCAGTTCAGCCCATGTTTTCCTATCTCGTTTCCCTGCAGCGCTTGGCAAGCTGAGATGCGTTCGCACCTCTGAGCACCCATGAGGCAGCAATGCAGCCCCCGCGTCCAGGGAGAGAGAACACAGGCAGTAGCAGAATGCCACTATATAGAGCCTTGGTCTGCCCACACCTGGAATGCGGCGTGCAGGTCTAGTCGCCCTCTCTCACAACAGATCCTAGAGTGGAAAAAGGTACAGAGAAGGGCAACAAAAGTGATGCGGGGTCTGGAACAGCTTCCATAGGAGGAGAGATGAAAAAGGCTGGGACTGTTAGCTCAGAAAAGAGACGACTAAGGGGGGATATGACAGAGGTCTATATAATCATGCCTGGTGTGGAGAAAGTGAATAAGGAAGTGTTATTTACTACTTCACATAACACAAAAAACAGGGGTCACCCAATGAAATTAACAGGCAGCTGGTTTAAAACAGACAAAAGGCAGTACCTCTTCACACAACGCACAGTGAACCTGTGGAACTCCTTGCCAGGGGATGTTGTGAAGGCCAAAACTATAACGGGGTTCAAGAAAGAATTAGATATCCTCTATGAACTTAGGTCCATCAATGGCTAGTAGCCAAGATGGTCAGGGACACAACCCCATGCTCTGGGTGTCCCTAACCCAGAAGCTGGGAGCGGACAACAAGGGATGGAGCACTCAGTAAATTGCCCCGTTCTGTTCATTCCCTAGGCGGCTGGCACTGGGCTAGGGGAACCCTTGGGCTGACCCAGCATGGCCATTCCCATGTAAGGAGGGCGAGGCTGGAACCCTAGAGATCAGCACCTGCCAGTCGAAGAGCTGCTCTCCTCCCTCCCCTGGCCTTTGCCACTGGAACACCACTGACCGCAGCCGAGTGACGCCGACTCCCACCGGCCCGAGAGGAGAATGGGGCTCAGGGAAAGGAGAGCCAGAGAGGAGAACGGGGCTCAGGGAAAGGGCCCAAAGCAGCAGGGTGGAGGGAAGCTGCAGACTCTGCGCTAGCAGCCAGGGCCAGTGGAGGGAGCAGCGAACGCAGCCTCCGGTCACAGGTGGTCGCAGAATGTGCCAGAGTTCAGTCTGGGCCACCCAGGCTGCAGGTGCTGCCTTAGCACCATGGCCATGCCTCCCCCACCTTCCCTGGGGGAACCGCTGGCCGGTTCCTCCACTCTGGCCCTCATCAGGTCCCTAATTAGCTACTGGGGAACTGCAAAGCAATTGTGGTTGCCAGGGTGGTTCGGTTTATGACTCTACCTTCCCCGCTTTGTTAGTCGAGCAATGTGTCGGGTTTATTAAACGCTGCTTGTCACGGGTGGCCACGCTGCAGCTCCCAGAGGCCTGGCGCGTGGGCCCTGCAGTTCCTATCGCCTCTTTCCAGGTACAACGCAGGGCGGGGCAGGGGTGGAGTGTGGTGAGCTGGGTTATAGGACGTTAAACCAGGAATCGGCCCCCCCACCCGCTTACTCATCTGCCCCTCAAGGCGTCTGGTCAAACCGAGCCAGCGCTGGAGGGAGAGAAAGCGGCGATTGGCCAAAGGATGAGCTTGGGGTGCGCATCTCTTCCCTCGCTTCCCAGGGCTCTGCCCCACAGACCTTCCCTGGTTGGCTGGGTGAGCAGCCGCTGAGCCCCACCCCTCGAAGGGACGCGGCTCCTCAGGGCAGGGCCTGGCGCTGCAGCTGCTCTGCCTCAGTTTCCTCCCCACTGTTTCTAGCCCACTCTGCTAGCCTATGGCTCAGCCCTCCAGCCAGGTCACTATGAACGGTGAATCCCCCCTCCCCACTACTGGGGTGGTGGAGTCCAAAGCCACAATCCCCAAACACAGAATAAAGGAGGCTTTATCCCTCCTGGGCTTAGTTCTCAGCTGCCCTGAGGCTGTCAATCCACTCGTCCTCTGGGCTCTCAGACCCACCTCTCTGCCCCTCAGCTAAGCACCCGGTGCCCCAGCTTCACTCCACGCCCCCTCCCCCCCCCAGCAAGTCCCTGACAACCCCACTAGCCGGGCCTCAGGCCTGCCTTTCCAGTAGGGAGGCTCCAGGCTCCTCTCCCCTCAGCAGAGCAGTTGGGCTCCTCTCCTTGCCAGCCAGCCACAGCTGCGCGAGCTTGCCCCTTCCCACAGGCCTGAGGCACACTCCAGAGGTGGCCATTTTTCCTCGCCACCCCCCTGGGCGGCAGGGCAGAGCTATTATGCCAAGTGTATAGATGGGAAACTGAGGCACAGGGCGACTCCCCTGAGGACTCTGTGGGAGAGCCGAGACTTGAACACAGGTCTCCCAGGTTCCAGGCGAAGGGCTCTAACCATTGGGCCATCCTTCCTACCCTGGAACAGACGTAAGCAGATGGCAGAAGCCTTTGGGCCCAGTGGGCTGGGGGCTGCTGAACATATTAAATAGACCATGTCTCAGAGGGCAGCAAACAGGATGCTCAGAAGACAGGTGCAGCCAGGGGTGCAGGGGGGGGGGGGGGCTGCCCACCATCTCCTCCACCCCCCACCCCC